GCGGTCGTCATCACGCTGAGCATGTACGACTGTGCGGTGTCTCCTCCACATGCCTCGTGTTGCCAGAATCTTGCCACAATCATAGCAAATGAAACCTCGTCCTCGTTCGGGTCGATCTGCCTCCACAAAGGGCGGGGGTGGCATCCCCGCCTCCTGAGCCAAAGATCTGAGTTGTCTCTGCCAAACCCCATGCCTGAAGTACTCCATCTGAGCTGCATGTGCTCTGTGTTCCACTCTCTTGATCAGGTTCATGGCCTTGGCATATTCACAATCTCTGAAGGCGTCAATCCAGGTACGTATGTTCTGTCGCTGCTCCCATGGTATCTCATCAGTGGAGACAAAGTCGCCGAGCCAGAGTAGATCTTCCCAGATCAGGGCATTCCAGCTCCCTTTCTCCTCCCATAGTAGGTCCACGAGGCGCAGGAGCTGCTGATCACCAAAGAACAAGAGTCTCATGAGGTGCCGTAGTCGCCTTGTGCGGAGTATAATCTGCCAGGAAGACTTGTCTGCGTCAAGTAGGACCTCCTCGTCTCGCCATCGAGGTCCATCAGGTATGTGTAACTTGCCCACCGCAGCTCGGTAGGCGTTGACATACTTGGCAGCGACTTGCGAGTCCAGCCTGGTGCCCAACGCGCCCCATATTTCTGCATTGAAGGTGAGGGTGCTGTCGCACAGGGCGCTGGTGAGCGTGATCTTTACCTGTCTATCAACGTCATGTATTTGATTAACCGTAATCCTCAATGGTCCCGCTGCTGCCGTATGCCCGTTGCACCTTCGGGCCATGTTGGGACCCTCACACCCTTTGGTATCCACAACCGTGCCCAGGTTGACCGCCGTCTCCACGATCTGCAGCTGATGGTTCAGGCCCTCGTGCCATAAGTACGCCGGGTGGCTGGTAAGAAGACGGGCCCTGGCTTTTCTGGCACACGGGCCAAAGAAGCCTAGCAATATCTTGGTCTTGGCCAAGTTGAGCGTGAAGCCAAAGATGCAGATGTGCTTGAACAGGATACTGACTATGCCCCTGATGGCGTCCTCAAGGTTGCTGCAGGTATCCACCGCGCAGGGAGTCGTAGCATCGTCCACGAAGGAGACGTCGGTAATCTCGGCTTGCTCTGCGGCGACCGAGGCCAGTATCGGTGCAGGGTCAGGCTTCAGTGTGAGCGTGTAGTTGTGGGCGGCCAGGTCCGTGTGTAGGTCTCTCAGCAGCGTGGCGAAGCCCAGGTTGTATACAAGGTCCGCTAAGCCATTGCCAGGGCGTGTGCCTCGTCGACTTTCCGCCGTGAGCGGACAACCCTGTGTCATGAAGAAGGTGTGCCTGTGTGCCTCTGCTACCGCTGCATGCAATGCTGGATCCACCCTTTGATCCTGGAGCACGCCCGGCCTAGCGAGCAGCGCTTGGAGCGCCGGCTGCATCCACTGTGGGACATTCTGCTGCTCGTATATGTCCTCCAGATCCTCCCTGTCAGTGGGGCCCCTGACAATGTGCTGCCTGACCACCGTGTAGAAGGCGGCCTTCAGGTCGATCATGGGCAGGATGGCAGCCTTCTGCTGCAGACGGCAGACGTGCAGGAAGGCCTTGACCGAGTGCGTGGCCATGGCTGTGCTGCGCTGTGGGATGCCACCGTACTGTGTGTGTCGTAGTAGGTCCAGGTGGCAACCGATGATTAAGTTGCGCAAGAATGCATGGTGATGTTTAGCGACCGTGTTGTTGAGGAGGATGCTCCTGTAGTTGGTGAAGGGCTTGGAAGAGCCAGCTTTGTGCAGTTCCACAGCTGTGCCGATCTTAAACTGCACGGGCTCCTGGTTCAAGAAATTGGCCTTGGTGATGACTGGGTGCCATAGCCTGGCCATGGATCTGCAGCAAGCTCTGAGCGCGTCGTTGGCGATCATGTCTGGCCCTGCGGCCTTGCGCAGCTTGGCTTTGCTGAAGCTATAGGCAAGCCCATGGTGTGACTGCACCAAGTTGACGGGTATCTCACACGGCGGCCTTATCTGTCGTGCCGTCTCGTTGTACCGCTGTAGCAGCTCCATGGGCTGCTGGACCCTCGCCTGCTCCACGCTGGCGAAGTACTTGAGACGTGCGAGACACAGCTGCTCGTCCGTGGTAATGATGGTGCCGTCCACATCCTCTCTCTCAGGGTAAACTGCCCCCCACTTGCCAGGTCTACCACCCAGCATGAGCATCTTTTTGGCCGTTCTCCAGTGCTCGGCTGGGTCGTTGTGGTGCTTGGTGGCCATGAGGTGGTTGGCGAGCTCTGCCATGGAGGTGTCCCTGTCCTGCGTGAGCAAGGACTTGTAGATGTCCAACGTGTCGTCCAGGAAGGTGCGGCACTGGTACAGGAGGCCCGCTGTGTCCAGCGTGCAGCAGGCTAGTCTGAGCGCGTTGAGCGGCAGAAACCAAGACTCCTGCTCCGTAACGAAATCCTGCCATTCCTTGGGAAGCTTATTGCGGAGCAGCTGCAGCGCCCTGAAGTTGCCGTCCTGCTGCTTTCTGATGGCACGTTGCACGTACCTCCTGATGCGCACCAGTCGCATGGTGGTCCTTGACATCGAGCTCTTGACTGGAGTAAATCGGTCGGCTCCAAAGTGTTCCTTGATGCATGCCGAGGTCTCGAGCTGAATGGCGTGGTAGTGGTCGTTCACATCCATCTCCCATGGAGGCTGCTGGATGTCGTCAAGCGCCCTGTTGCAGTCGTCCCTGACCTTCGGGTCCTTGAGCTTGTGGTGGTCCAGCTTGAAGCCTCCTTTCCTGTCCTTGGTCTGGCCGTTGATGTTGCCCGTGAGGAACGCCAAGACAGGGGAGTGGTCCGAGTTCTTGCACACGCCGTCAAAAGAGTGGTCGACACGTACAGCAGCCACTCTGTTGAAGGAAGCTTCCTGAAGTAGAATAAAATCAATGCGGTGTGGGGTGTGACTGTGGCTGTCCTTCCAGGTGTACTGAGGCTCGCTCGCAGGTCCCTTGAAGAGCGTATTGGCGACGTAGAACGCCCGCTCTGTCACAAAGCCGTGGAGCCGCTCGCCATTGTCGTCCTCGGTTTGGCGAAAGCCTTCCGTGCCCACGAATTCTGATTGCTTGCTCCCAAGCCTGCCGTTGAGGTCAATGAGCACGATGGAGGGCTTGAAGATGTCGCACTTCAACTCGAATAGCCTCCACCAGTCCTTCCTCTCGTTGCCCTGCTGGTCCTTCCCGTGGTGCGGGGTGTGCGCAACCGCGATCACCTCATCAAAGAAGGGAGCGGCCACGCGGACAAACAGCATCCGAGGGTGCCCGAAGAGGACCTTGGCATGCTTTTTCTGGAAGCAGTAGGCTTTCCTTTTGTGGGTGGCGTAGGGTAGCTCCGTAGACAGCAAGAGTGAGCATCCCAGATTCCCCTTGACCGCTGGGCTCGAGATCGTGTAGTAGCCGTTGGCGGACGAGGCTCTGGCAGCGCACCTGGTTTCTTGGATTCCCGCAAGGTGTACCCCTCTCTGGTGCAGCTGCTGTCTGACCAGAATACCTTTGCCTGATACCTTCCTGCTCGTCTTCGGGTTGAGCACGACGTCAATCATGGACTGAGCATTGTACTGGCACAAGCAGAGGTTGAGGCGTCCGTTGACGCACTTCGAAGGTGCTGGTGCTGGTATGTGTTCCAGCTGGGCAACCTGCGGCTTGACTGTGAACTGGAACTTGCCATTGATCAGTGGAGGGTAAGCTGCTGCATCTTGTGGATGCGCCGTGCGTAGCCAGCTCCATTCGAGTGCGGGTTCGTAAACCAGGAGACTTGAGATGCTACCAAAATAAGGCCGGCGCCTGGGTTGTAGTCCCGCCTCCTTGGCAATCACGTCCGCAGCTTCGTTCCAAGGTGCACCTGAGTGGCCCTTGGTGTGTTCAAAGCGAACTGTCCTCCGTCGTCGAATCTCCTCACAGAGGATGGCCGTCAGTCTGGATAGGTCGTGATGCGAGGAAATCATCTGGGTGCCGTCCGCCGTCCCCAAGGCGGAGGTGTTGTCCCCAACAAACACACAAGGCATCCCATCCTGCCAAGCGATGGACGCAATGAGCGCCCAAAGAATACCAGCAAGCTCCACAACTGTACTAGAAGTGGGGGCTCCCAACTCCGATGGCACTGAGTCTGCGTAGTTACCCACGAGGTGCCCAAGGTAAGAGAAACCTTCGGAGTCTTGTGCGATATGAATCACTGCCCAGCTGGCCGTAGAGGGTGCTTTAATGTCGTAAGAGGCGTCCATGAAGAAGAGATGTGCCTGCGGAGCAATCGGCCTGACTGGAGCCAGATACTGCAAGGCCAGCCGAGTGTGCTCATGAAGGTTGTGTCCCAAAATATCATGCTGCCAATCTAGGGTATTGATGCTCCTGGCGATGTCATCAACCAAGGAGCGAAGCTGTCCGATGTTGCACGACCGCTGGCCGCTGCTCCCCGATGGGACATCAACTGCCAGGTGGTGCTGCGTCGCGCTGCCAGGCACTGGGGCCGATGGCGCTGTGCTGTCAGAAGGCAAACTATGAAGAGGGTCCTGAGATCGAAGAACATCAGGCTGCTGCTGGGCCGCAGTTCCCTGGACTAGGTCGTCCCCAGGTATCTGCTGCGGCTGGTGCTGGATGTTAGGCCCTGGTGGAGCAGGCTGCACTTCCTGGATGTCATCGCTCGCCCTCAGCGTGACGCCAGGCTCCAGCTCCACGGGGAGGAAGGTCCCATGTGTAGGTACCAATGAATTCTGAATACTTGCATCTGGCCAAAATGGCAATGCTGCCCTTAGTTCCGTCGCGCTCGGAGGACAGCTGACTGACTCGGGGCATAGCTCTGCCCGCTCTGTCATTTGCCTGGCGTGGCTTGGGGGTGGCGTAGCTCCGGGTGTGTTTCGCCCCGTTACGCTTTCGCCACAACCCCTCGCAGAGGTAGGCGTAGCTCCAGGTGTATTTCGCCCTGTTACGCTTCCGCCCCCAGCCCCTGCGCCCACGCCAGCCGCTGCGCGATCTCTGATCGGGGTCAGCTGAGGGAGGCCTTGGCCTCCTTGGCACGGCGCAGGTCCTCCAGCCCCTTCTCCCTGGTCTGGAAGAGCTTGCCCCTGGCCCCGTGCTGCAGCAGCCTCTGCTTGACGTGCTGCTGTCTGGTCTGGCAGGTGGAAGATCCCCCTGCCGATGCCGTGCTCTCGTGACCCTCGTCCGCTAGCCCTGGCGGACGACTGGCCGAACTGGCTCCTCGAAAAACTGGTGAGTCCGTAGCCGTGAGATCCAGGAGGTTGTCGCGCAGCGTGGCGTCTGACAGGCCAGCCGACGAGGACCCCGCGGATGCGGTGATGTCCTTGCTCTGTGCTGGAGAGTTGGAGGCCCCGCTGACTGGCTTGCCGAGATCCCCTTGCTGTTGCTGCCTCCCCTGCAGGCTGGCCTCGACACCCGGGGGGGCGGAGGCTGCCAGGGCTGCATCGCGTCGTCCGCTGCTCTCGAGGGTGGGGTCCTGGTCCTGCTTCCCCTGTCTGGCGGCGGCAGCTCCTTCGCCATCTGCCTCTGGAGTCCCAGGCAGCCACCAGCGTGGGTCCACAGGCTGCGTTGGGGAGAGGACGACAGGCCCCCCACTCGAGGACCCCTGATCCGAGTGCTGGGCAGGGGAATGGCTGTCGTGTGACTCCCCCGTGGAGCCCTGCCCTGGCGGAACTTGGGCATGAGCAGCCACTGCGCCCCAGTGTGCCTGCACCTGCTGCCAGTCAATGTAGCATTGCCCAGCATCACTCGGCTGCTCGGCAGGTGGAGTATCCGTCCCATTGGCTTCATCTCGGCTGCGGTGGATCATGGCAGAGGCCGCCTGTAGTTCCTCCTGCTGCAGCGCCAGTTCCTCCCGCTGAAACTGCTGTGCAATGGTCTCCTCCTCGAGTAGCAGGTCGTCGTTGAGGACGCGCGCCCTGATGTGGAGCTGCTCGGCCACGGCTTCGGACAGGATCCTCTGCTCCATGCGCAGTCTGTCGGATTCCTGCTGGATGGCCATGGCCGCCTCCCTGTGCTGGCTGGAGTGCTTCTGCTGGGCGAGCTCCGCAGCCTGGGCCTGCTCCAGGGCAGCACGCTCCGCGGCTTCCTGGGTGCTGCGAGCCATTGCTTGGCGGGCAGCGCTGGTTTCCACCTCCAGCTGTTCCATGGCTTGTTGGAACCGCTGTCTCGCCTGGATCTCCATCTCCTCGTACTTCCTCTGCTCCTCCCAGGCACGCTTTTGCTGCTGTACAAGTATGCGTCCGTTCGCCTCGTCCAGCTCGGCTGCAGCTTGCTGGCGGGCGTCGAGGTGTGTGGCAGCCGAGTCTGACTGAGCCTGTAGCTGACTCGAGCGCTCTGCAAGGAATCTGCATTGCTCCTGAAGCTCAGCCCTCTGGCGCAGGGCCTGCTCGTTGTACTCCTCCAGCTGCATGGCCTCCTCCAAGCGTACTCGCATAGCATTCTCCAACCGAAAATCCTGCGCCTGGTGCTGCTGCGTGACCTGCGAAATGGCCATCTGCTGCGCCTCCAACCTGGTCCTCTGAGTAGTCTCGGCCTGGATGAACTCCTTCTGCTGTGTCGCCAACATGCGCTCCCGTTCCTCCAGCTCCTGCTGCATGCGCTTGACCCCCCAGTTCTGCTCCTGCAGCTCCTGTTGCATGCGCAGCTCCATGGCCTGGCACTCTTGCTGCATGCGCGCCGCCATCGCCAGCTGCTGGGCCTCCACGGCCTGGGGGGGAGCCGGCGGTGCTGCACGCTGCTGCTGACATTGTGACTGGATGCTGTCCATGCGCTGGTGGAGCTGCCTGATGGCCTGGGCGACCTCTTGGTTGAAAAGCTCTGGCCGATTGCCCTCCGCCTTCGCCGTCTCAACCTGCTGGCTGGGCGCGGACTGTGAGGTGTGCTCCTTCTTCACCGTGAGCAGCTGGCGGGGCAAGCCTCTCGGCGTGTGCCCCGCGCGTGGAGCAGCCCCTGGTCCTGGATCGGCAGGGGCGGCAGCTCCTGCGGCGGAGGTGCGCCAGGGAGCTCCTGTCGTCCACCCCTTGGGTGTCGGGGACGGCTGCGCGCAGTCCTGCACGGGCTGCTCGTCGGGCCCCTCCTCCTCCTCAGACGTGTACCCAGGCTCCAAGTCCTGCGCCATCAGCTCCTGCTCTTGATCATATACCTTAGCGATCCTCACCTCCAGCAGCATGGCTCTCTGGTGGAGCTGCTTCTGCTGCGCGTGGATCGTATTCAGCTCTGTGTTCATGTCGAAGCGCAGCTTGGTGAGCTCGGGCAGTTGCACTCCCTTGGGCTTCAGCATGAGGAGCGCTGTCTTCAGCATGCTGAGTTCCTGTTCTTCCAGTGCCGACTCCTTCTGCGCCCGTCTATTGGCCTGCACCACGTCAAGCAGTCGCTTCGCCCTGGCAATCAGCGCTGCCTTGAACGGCGTCCTCAGGGCTGCTTGCTCTGTGGCGGGCGGCTCCTTCCAGTCCTTGCAACTGCGCGCCTCATCCAGTGTCATAAAGCCAACATCTTTGAAGATGGCCGCGTGCTCCTGGCTGAACGTCTGCTGCTGCGCTTTCTGCTTCTTGCCAGTCTTGCCACCTGCGGCCTGTCGTCCTGCCGCTGCTGCTTGGTCTGTGGACGTCCTCTGAGGTCTCCACTTGAATCCGCATCTGCAGTGCCACATGCTGTTGGGGACGGGTGCCCCACATCCACCGCACTGCCACTTGTGCTTCGGCAGCGCCATCCTCTCGGTCGTGAGCTGCGCCGAGTGGTGGCTCCCCAGCAGCCGCGCCGCGTCCAGGACCCTCAGCAGTGTCCTGGCGGCGCTGCGGCGGGAGCGCTCCCGCCTGTGCCAGCCTCCGTCGGCCGGCGTCGCCAGGGGGGCGCCGCGAGGCGCGCGGCCGCGAATCGCGGCCCTCTCGGAGACAGGGAGGCGACGGTGGCCTCCGAGAGGGCGCCGCGCGGCGCGCTTGGGGCCCGGCCCCGAGGTCGGCCTGACCGCGAGCTGGACCGGGCGGCGGCGCCGATTGCCCGATCCGAGCCGATCGATCTGGCCCCAGACCTCTGAGGGCCAGAATGCCTTCTCCTCCTCCTCCTCCTCCTCCTCCTCCTCCTCCTCCTCCTCCTCCTCCGTCTCCTCCTCCTCCGCCTCCTCCTCCTCCTCCTCCTCCTCCTCCTCCTCCTCCTCCTCCTCCTCCTCCTCCTCCTCCTCCTCCTCCTCCTCCTCCTCCTCCTCCTCCTCCTCCTCCTCCTCCTCCTCCTCCTCCTCCTCTTCCTCTTCCTTTTCCTCTTCCTCTTCCTCCGCCGCCGCCGCCTTCGCCTCCGCCTCCGCCTCCGCCTCCACCTCCGCCTCCGCCTCCGCCCTCCTCCATCCTTTTCGTGCTCCTCCTTCTCCTCCACTTCCTCCTCCTCCTCCTCCTCCTCCTCCTCCTCCTCCTCCTCCTCCTCCTCCTCTTCTTATGTTTGGTAGTAGTCTTCGTCTTCTTCTTAATATTATCATTATTTTTGATGTTAGGATTCGTAATATTGGTATGAGTAGTATTCTTCGTCTTCGAAGTAGTATGCTTCTGCTTCTTAAGATTCGTACTATTATTGCTAGTCGCATTATGCGTCTCAGTAATAGTCTTGTTTTTATGAATATGATTCTGAGTATGCGTAGTATTCCTCTTTCTCTTCTTCATATTATTGTGCTTGGTATTGGCATTATTCTTATTAGTCTATGTTTTTCCTCCTCCTCCTCCTTTTCCCTCTCCGTTTCCTCATCCTGTTCCTCCTCCTCGTCCTCCTCCTCCTCCTCCGCCTCCGCCTCCGCCTCCGCCTCCTCCTTCTCCTGCCCCTCCTCCTCCGCCTCCTCCTCCTCCTCCTCCGCCTCCGCCTCCTCCTCCTCGTCCTCCTTCTCCTCCTCCTCATCCTCTTCTTCTTGTTATTATGATTCGTTGTTGTTCTTCGTATGCTTATTCTTCTTAGTATTAGTAGTATTCGCCTTAGTATAATTATCGTTCGTCTTCTTATTATTAACAGTAGTAATATTATTAGTATTCCTAATAGTATCAATAGTATTAGTATTCGCCGTCGCATTCGCATTATTAGTGTTCTTCGTATCAGTCGTGTTCTTCTGAGTCGTATTAGTATGATGTGTCGTATGATTATTGTTAGTATTATTGATGTTAGTGTTCGTAGTAGTATTATTATTCTGAGTGTTTATACTATTAGTAGTATGATTATTAGCATTCGTATTCTTATTATGTGTGGGATTAATGTTATGCGTGCGATTACTAATCGTTGTAGTATTCATTCAGTTTCGTCATGTTAGTACTATGAGTATTAATAATAGCATTCGCCCTATTATTACTAATAGTAGTAGTAGTAGTAGTAGTAGTAGTAGTAGTAGTAGTAGTAGTAGTAGTAGTAGAAGTAGTAGTAGAAGTAGTAGTAGTAGTAGTAGTAGTAGTAGTAGTAGTAGTAGTAGTAGTAGTAGTCCTCCTCCTCATCCTCATCATCATCATCATCATCCGCATCCTCATCCTCCTCCGCCTCCTCCTCCTCCTCCTCCTCCCCCTCCTCCTCCTCACCTCCTCCTCCTCCTCCTCCTCCTCCTCCTCCCTCC